ACCTTGACCGGGATGCGGTGTAGGTCATAAGAATCTAAATGCCAGAAATGGTGCGAGCCCTGAGGGCTTAGGTCACATGTTGGCCAGACTTGAAGTAATGTGACAAACAATTCCAGGTCTGTGTCCAACAGAGTAGAGGGGGTTTTTTAGTGAGTAGTCTGATAATTTTCAGGAGTCTCACACTACAGGCTGGCTACCTGTGTGCGTAAAAGCATTTTCCCTCCTCTCCCTAAAAAAAAAAAAAAAAAAAAAATAGTTTAATTGCTGTTATTTATTTTTCTATTCAATGAAACGCATTGAGTACATTTATTTACTGTTTGTGTAAACATAACCCCCAAGACAGATCGTGTTAGTATGGTTGTATCTTAACTTTGTGTATTTATCGTTGTTTTGTGTAGCTATGACGGATCGTGTTAGCATGATTGTACCTTAAATTTATTATTTGTTGTTTTGTTTTTTCTTTTAAATGCCTCCGACGCGTCGACAACGAACCATAGACAGGAGGCGTAATCGTGATAACGACCGCAGCTACAGAACAGTGGCGCGTAATAGGCTTAACTCATCACAGTCAGCACCTGACCCTGGGCAATCTCAACTATTAGGTTACAAATGCGCCCTAACACTACCCCAAAACGACTTTTCGTTCTCAATTGGCCCTCTATCAATGACCTGCGTTGCCAGTACAGCGAGGCATTTTGAGGAGGAGAAACCGGCCGGAATGTTTTAGGTTTGTCATTGACGAAGATAAACCCATGTAATACAAACTTAAGGTTTAAGGTGGTGGAATCTCTTATGGTTGTTGTCCATACAACCTTATATGGCTATAAGTCAGGAAATGTTTGTAGAAAACATTAAAAAGCAATACCAGGTTATGAAATGATATAATATTTACAGGAAATGTTGATTACTGTTTTATATACATCGTGAGTATCTCCATGACACACCGGTTATCTTTGAGTTGACTCTTTTAAACACATTGTAAATAAGACTATTATTTGTTTTGAAATAACTCCTGTAATACTTTGCAATTGCTCGAATTCGAGCAACATGTTTACTAGTTTTGAACTAAGCAGCAACAAAAAAACTGTGATACGCAATGAGAACTGTCAAGGTAGGATTGCTTACAGTTGTTTACAGTTTGTTTTTTTTTATTTCATGAATAATTTGTGATATTTTGCGAATTTTTTATAATCTATCCCTCTCCATTGTGTAGGTGAAGTGGTAGGACATAATGGCTATGGTAGATGTGTAATACTTTTGTAATTCTATAGCATACCGTAAATTTTAGGAAGCTAATTTTCTCAAACCGTGTCTTCTCACATTGCAAACGCAAAGATCGAGTATAACTGCAATATGCATTTTATACTTATATGCCAACCCCGTACGAAGGACGGGTACTCTGCTAGTGCAATATAATTTTCTTTTAACCAACAGCTGGTTAAATATAAAAATGCTCTGTAGAACTATGAGGTTATTTTATTTACTCTGATTTGTCATTGATTTTTAGGAAATAAGTAAGATTAGTAGACCACCGAGAAAAGTAACACCATCAATGTATACAAGTCGAGGATCTGTACACGAGTCTTAAAAAAAGTATATGCAAATTATTATACTGCTCAACTTTTTTAGGAAAGGGTAGGAGAATCCATTTTTTACACGTTTTAATTCATCTTGGTTTGTTTACAATCAATGTTTTTGAATGATTAAACTTTGTTTGGATTAGGCCCGGAAATATTGATGTCATAAAGAAGGAGATCAAGAATCCTCAGGAATACAATTTTAAATCACCACCACAACCCAGACGGGTTTTATCCAAAGATATACAGATACGAATGACATAGATTGAGCACAACGTCATCATTGACCTAGGATACTGCAATTAGACTAACCATCCTTTTATGAAATCTAAAAAGTTGTTTGGCGTGTGTTTAGTTGTGGTTACGTTTGGAGGCGCTGAATATTTTATAGTTTAAATAAATGAATATGGGGAATTACGGTGTACATTGATTCAATGAGGGTGGTTTAATTATTAAGGATATTAGAACTGATAACGGAATGGATAATAAACATAGACAATTAATTACGTCACTAGCTTAACTAGTGTGTTTTACGATTTAAATTCCTTCAACATGTGACCAGTTCTTTTGTTCAAATGAATATTATTTTATTTTTGACTCAGCTGTTTACCAAAACAAACTATATGTTGTTGTTTTTACTTTTCTTTGTTTACACTTATTTATTTAGCAATTTACGCAGTGAAATTGATACAGTAAAGGATATGTGTGGACGTTTCGTTTAATGATGTCAGGACACCAACGTGATAATTATGTGTACTGTGAATTTTATTGGATGTTTTCGTTTTATTTTAGGGAGTTTCTATTCAGACCTACTGGAAATTGTGTATAGTATGAGTAATTGTATTGTGTTGATATTGATTATGGAAGAGGCAGGTATGCGATGGAATTGGAAGGTGATATCGTTGACTAGGCCTATACCTACACTTTCTCAATTGATAATTACTCTTTTTACTGTATGCTGCTATAAAATTTGTCTTTATACGTGTAAGCTAGCTGTTCTGATTTATACACAGTTTTAACTGACTACTCCCGTACGTAGGACGGGCTAACACCTCGTCTGATTTAAAACAATTATATCGTTAATTTAGTGGGAATCAACAACATCAAAATCACGGACGGAAACTCACATTTCCCCACTTTACCCGGAGAGAGGGATGGACGGCCGTGACGTCATAGTTCTGTAGGGGCTTTCGTGTGGAGGACAAGCCAGCGGCTGGACTGGGGGGTGTTGCCGCAACGACTCTCTCCCACTCCACTCAGATAGAGAGAGGGGTAGTCGGCCGTGACGTCACCGTTTGGTAGGGTTTGCAGTCGGGAGTCTTTGCAGTCGGGAGCCCTTGCTATCGCACCGTTGAACAGAGCATGATCACGGCCACCTTTAACTACAGGCCGTGGCCTGGTAGAATTGGCAACGTCGCAAGTGGTGTTGTTTAGTGACAAACTTCATATAAGATAACATGGTAGACAGGTGACATCAGCTCATTAATTCGCATCTTATTGATTTAAATTTAAATTTATGAACATAAATTTACTAAAATGTTGAACCTAAAACATACAGAACTGAAAACCGAAACAATGAATTAAAAAATATGTATCTGTACATTTTAAGCGGAGTAGTAACCAATCTTTCGTAAATACACAAATGACATTAGCTGCTTCCAAACAAAACAGATGTAACAACACCACTTGCGACGCTGCCACATCGAAGGCGGTGGCCTGGAGTTAAAGGCGGCCGTGGCATAATACTAAACAAATATTATGTATACATAGATGTACAGGCTAGTACCTATATACAAAATAGGTACAGCTGTATTTTATACCAAGCTATCACATTTGAATAAAAAAACACATCTCAATACCATCTTCACTGTAGCAACAAACCTAAGTACTCACTAAAATTCATGTTATACAAATATTAAATTAATCTGACAATTATAGGGAATATTTTAGTAGATGTCCAGACGGGTAGATGGAAATTCACTTAGTCTGCAGGTTTGCTGTGGTGGGGTATTTATTTGTATGGCAGTCAATTAAGTTTTCTTTCGTTAGTATTGGCATGTATTGGCTGCACTTTACTTTAGGTCCTACACTCATTCGAATGAAAATATCGATCGATATATCGATTAATCGATTGTTTAATTCGATATATCGTTTGGTTAGTTAGGTAAGGTTAACCTAACCTAACTGACCAAACGATATATCGAATGAAACAATCGAATAATCGATATTTTCATTCGAATGAATGTAGGACCTAAAGTAAAGTGCAGCCTTAGTATTTATTCTAATCAGAAATCAGAAACATTTATTGCCGAAAACATTACAACAATTTATAGACCATCGTCAGGTACAATTTATAGCAAACATGAATTTGCTTTTCTTAAGAAAACAACCATTATTAATAAGAAGCAATCTTTAAATCGTCTTTAGATTTCTATCACAGAAGTTGATTGAAAAAAATATATAAGTATATAAACAAATGTCAACAATACATAAAATTTTTTTAACAGTTAAAAGAAGTCACAATAACAGAATAAAACTCAACAATATATAGTACAAAAAAATTGTTAAAATTGCTATGGGCGGTAACAGGAGATTCAACAATAAAAACATACATTTAACATTAGACAATAAAAAACAAACAGCACATCTGACATTAACAATAAAAAAACTAATTGACATTTATTTATTTATTTATTTGTTAACGGTTGCACCATTTTTACATGAATAATACAATGTCTTGCATGCAGAAGAAGCAGAAAAAAATCACAGGTCAGTACAAAAGTAGTGAAAAAAACTGGAAAACAAGACTTCAATAACAAGACATAAAAAGATAAATAACAACTATAAATAACAAACTATAAATAACAAACTATGAATAACAAACTATAAGTTACAACTACATTGTTTGTTGGTTGTTGTAAAAACTAATTGATCTATTGTTATTTATTGTTATACTTTAGCACTTGTTATTTTTATGTTATACTTCAATATTATATCCTTAATGTTATTAGCCATCCATCGAAATGTAAATTGGTGTATTGCCGTTGGATTGATAAATAAATAAATACAAGCACTAACCCCCGACCATCCTTAGTGATTTAGCAGAAAACTCCTTTCCTCAACCCATGGGTTCCCGACGGATCGACTGATGCATTTTTATAAAAACTAAATTTAAAATAAACTAACCTTTGTAAGGTATAAAACATGTCAATGCATGATTCAGACAAATTCACAACAGTGATATTTTATATACAGATATTTTATATACTGTACAAACATAAACTACTGGTACAAAGCTGCATGACGCTTAATCAAGTGTGCCTTAAAACCAAAGAATAAAGAAAAAGAACCTTTATAACAGCTGTTTAGCAGACTTCCTGACCTTGGGACTTCTGCCAAAGGTCACGACGACGACATGGGCAAACGAAAGCTCAAGGCTGGTCCTGTTTGGAATGCACTTAGTAGAATTGAAATTAGTTTGGCAAGTTAGACCTCTGTAAACTGTTAACTGGATCAGTATGGGTTTTTAAAACAATGCTGGTTTTTGTTTTCAACCATAGAAAACATTATTGCTATTGTTGTGCCGGTTCGCGAGTTTTGTGAACTGTAGAGACTTAAAAAGAAAAGTGTGTTTTTAGATGAGTGTCTAACTGAAGCCCTAGTCATTGTTTTTGGTAAGGGTATTCCATTATTTTATTTACTGTGTAGCCCTACGTTTTATATACTTTATTATAGTTCAGTTAGCTCATACCACAATTGTTTACTATCATCCACAAGGAAATTGAAATGCATGTTGTATATTATTTTGCTTAACTGTTGAGTGTTGACATAACCTCTAAAACACATCCTAATCACTGATCGCCAAATTACATGCGACCAAAGTTAATTGAAGAGATAGGCCTAGTTCAGTTTCACATATTTACTTAAAGCCTAGATAGGCATAAAGGAATTTTGGTTACTTTCCTGTTAAAGGGAACATTCATTATTTTATTAACAATGATTTCTTTTCGATATAACTTAGGCTATAAATTTTTTTTGATCCGATAAATAATTATGTTCAGTAACTTATCAAGAAACAATTTAAACAAAATTATATTTAAATAAAAACTGTTCTTAACTAACTTAGGCCCTAACCTATAGTTAAATTCAACCTTTCCTGAGGCGGATTACTGGCAGAACCAGTCGACCACACTAATAGCCTCGTCCCTTGGCCCTATTGTGTGTGCGCTCGGAGCTGGGCGTGCGGCGGCCTGTCCCAAAATAGTCATTCCTGCTGGCTCCAGTACAGTTAGGGCCTATGGACTTTTTATTATTTTAAGAAAAAAGTTCAAACGAATCACATAGCGTAACGCATCGTGATCGCCTGATTATTTTGATATAAAATTTGAGGAAATTCGACCAATTCCATGAATAATAACCGATTAAACATGTAACTTAATACGCATTTTTCCATATAATATATAAGTTAGGACATGGTAGGAATAAACTGTACAAAAACATTGTTTGTTGAGAAAAACATACCATATTATTCAACAATTTTACGAAACAATACTGTACAATTTTAGAACTTAACTTCGGGGAACTTTTCTTTTCCATACTTTACGTACGGTATTTTTATGTTTATTTTTATGCCAAACAATTAATGGAAACCAGGGAATTTTAACTCAGGAGAGAGAGAGAGAGAGAAATTCTTTATTTACAACAAATTATTTTGCAGCATTACATAAAGGAAATAAAAAAATATCACATGGGTCACAATGACCTAGGTGCGTGATAGTCAGGAAACATGGTAAACTATAGGTGAAAACAGACATCGACTCCTGGGATATGTTTCATGACCCAAAACCACTATAAAAAACGTTAATGTATGAAATCACATGAGTTTATGTATAAGATATAGCTTTAGTACTTCTAGTATGTTTGAATCTGTTAATATTCTTGGAATTGGTCGAATTTCTTCAAATTTTATATCAAAATAATCAGGCGATCACGATGCGTTACGCTATGTGATTTGTTTAAACTTATTTATTAAAATAAAAAATTTCATAACTGTACTGGAGCCAGCAGGAATGACTAATTTGGGACAGGCCGCCGCATGCCCAGCTCCGAGCGCACACACAATAGGGCCAAGGGACGAGGCTATTAGTGCGGTCGACTGGTTCTGCCAGTAATACGCCTCAGGAAAGATTGAATTTTACTATAACCTAGGCCTAACTAATCAAACTTGCTATTTCAAAATTCCGTTTGATATTCCCCATATATGCCTTTTCTGTTAAAAAAGGATTTTGAAATGGTACAGCAAGTTTGGTTGGTTATTTTATGTTAGTTTAGAACAGTTTTATTTTCTTAATCTATTACACTTTAAGTTAGCCTACATAGGCTATTATTTTTTCCTAAACAAGATTAGTTCGCAATTTGTAATTTAAAGGCCAAAATGTGTTTGAAGATGCAAGATATTAAAACAGAAGGAATATTGATCGTAAGGGAAAGCAAGAATATCGATATAGGCTATCGAAAATAAATCATCGATAATAATGAATGTTCTCTTTACTTAACAGGAAAGTACCAGATTATTTTAGTAAACAAAAAAGTATTAACCTTTGTGCTTTTTAAGGTTTGACGGCTTACAATATTTTTTAACAATCTTATTTATATCTTCCTGCGGGTGCAGTTTCATAACTAACTGGGCTAAGCTAATATTGATTGAACATATCGATTCCATTAGTAGCCTAAACCTTCATTAGGCTAGATTTTAAGTTTATATTAAATTATAAAATGAAACTGTTATAACCTAACCTAACTAACCAAACTTGCTAGCGTAGCCCAGTTAAGAAGCTGTAGCCACATCTTCTTGTTATGCCTAAAGATAAGTAGATTTTTTAATCACTTCACTCATAGCCTAACTACTTTCATGGTAGCACAGTTTGTAACGCCAGCTTAGTGAAAATAATTATTAACTGTGTCAACTGTAGAGCAACATGTTTTTCAACTTGGCCTTATGAATTTTTACAGCTAGGCCTACTTATTCACACTTCCATAGAAAGTTTTCAATTTATAATTTTGATTTTAATTAGCCTTTTACAACTTATTGCATGTCTGAAGGAAAATTGTAATTTTTTTGTATCCTAAAATGTTTTTAAAAGTACGTTTCTGTCACCTTTCCTTAATACTATACCAATCTCTTTTTTAACTCCTTGAACCATAAACTAATATTAATTGCAACAGTGAATTGGTTATTCTGCTCATTATTGTGTCTGTTCCAATTCAAATTTGAATAGGCCTATGTCATAATTGAAAGGTTTTCAACATAAACTTACATAGGCTAACATTAGCTCACTGTGACATTAACAGTGATTTTGCTTCTCGAAAGTGTGGTCCATGTATCTGTGATAGCTAACCTATTCAATAAAATCAGGGTGGTAATTAATAACAAAAATACAGTTCACACCAAGTGTTGTAAATCACAGTCAATAACCACTAAACGGTAATTAAGTATTGTAACTTGTATATTGGTTGCATTAGTTTTTCAACCAGCAGTTCAAAGTTTGAAGGGGAAAGCGGAAATTTATGTTTATGTTATGCTCTAAAGCATCTTTAAGTGTCATCCATATAAGCTTCTCCTGTTAAAAAAATTACATAAATGAACGAGTTTAAAGCCAAACCTAAGCCTTACAATTATACCAAATTATACTGACAATCTACGAGAAAGTCATATTGACAATTATCTGGTGGAATGGTAAAGTGTATTGTGTTGCTAGCCTAGTAGTTATTGCCTCAAACTACGCCTCATGAGAGAGGGGTTCGATTACTAGCATGTCCCAAAAATTTATGTGGTTTGGACTCCTTTTACTGAAAATGCCAATGGCATGTACAATCAAAAACCCAATTTCCAATGAAATTTTGTTTGCCAAAACATTAAAACTGTAGCCTAACTAAAACTAGAGACACAGTTGGTCTATGTTTAAATCGTAGGCTTTATTCCTGTTGTTCCAGGTTCAAATCCCAGCAATCATTAATAGATATAAAACTAAGTTATAATTTTGTGGACAATTGTACCGAGCTAACCTTTAGGTTCCATAGCTTAGCCTATCTATTGAAGAATTTATAGACCTAGGTCTCACATGTATATAGAGAACATTCCCTGTTTTGGAAAATTACGCAAAAATACATTAATTCAACGTAATTTTATAAGCGATTTTTTGAAAACTTAACAGAAAATACCCCCGCCGCAGCAAACTGCAGACTAAGCAAATTCCCATTAACTGACTGGATTTCTACTAAAATATTCCCTGAAAATTCTCAAATTTATTTCCCATTTAAATAATAACATTAATTTTAATGAGTACCTAGGTTTGTTGCTACAAGCTACAAGGAAGGTATTGAGGTGTGTTTTTGATTGAAATGTTGATAGTTTAATATGAAATTAACAAAATTGCCAAATTTGATTCAAATATGTCCATAAACAAGCAAACTACAACAGTTTATTAATTCTTCATAAGAATAACATGGGAATTTTAAATTTAAAGTTCTTTTTATTACCTCCGTAACCGTTAGGCATAGAACAACGCTTCAATACACAAAATTATTTCTTTTTTTAAGCTCTACAAAATGGTCTGTAAAGAAATTGTAAAGTTTTATGATTTTATAGTAAAAAATGGGAAATACCAATTTTTACCCCATAAAACCCCCCATATACCCCCGTTCCCATAGTCCGATTATGCTGGTTCGCAAACTTGTTTGAATAAATGTAGGTTTACACATTTGTACGAAATTTCATCAAAATCCGATCATTTTTGCTCGAGTTATCGTTCTAACGGACACACATATAGCCTACATAAATAAGTAAATATATATACCTATATGAATTTGAACGGAGGGTATTTTTGCTCTCTGGTGACCTCAAAATGAAAAAGTAAATTGGTCTTGGGTCTAGGTCTTACCATGAGAACTACGGTAATAGCTTATTATGGGAAATTCACAAAAAGAAAGTAGGCCTATCTGTTTCTTTACTTTTAATATCTTTATTTTCAATTGTTTTGCTTTTACTTTGACATTTTAAATTTGTATCCAGAAGCCTATATTATTCTCCTGCCTTGCATGTTCAAAAATGTATGTAGAAAACAGGAAAAGAATGCATAATATATATTTCAGTAACAATCATTTGACTATTCCATTGTGGATCTAGATTCAGAATGACATACTTTTATTTTAATTAAATCATAATTTATTTGATATACAACATATTTGAATGTAGCCTTTCAATTTTTATGGATAATTATATTCTTAAATATAATAAACACTTTATTAGAAGATACATTTTATCTTCCCAACATGGAATGTTTGATAATGAAGAAAGAACCACAAAGCCATGCTTGTTTACAGTATCAAAGGCAAGGTCAAAATGATAAAATGTCTTCCTTTCCTGTTAGTCTTGAAGGTCTCCCAATACCTGTTCAAGGAGAGATTGATTCCTATTACCCTAATATTTATATCAGGTTTCAATATACAACACAGATGAGCACTTCATATCTTAAAAGTAAAAACATGTAAATACTGCTATACTAATTCCTTCCAAATAGGAAGAGCTGAAAGATGATTTAGTTCGTGTTTAAAAAAACCCTACATCATTGTATTTCATGAGTAAATTGAATTAAAAGAAGGAAATTTCAATTCAACCACAAGTCTATAAAATAGTATCCTGACTGGTATATTAAATGGTACATTTTTTAAGAGTCAGCAAAACAGCAAATAACTTGCATTAGAACATTTTTTTTTTAGAAAACAGACTGTCAAATTAATTATCAGGCTATATATCTTAAATGTTATGATAGGATTCATTGCAATTAAGGCTAATGTTATATTATATTATTAATATCAACATTTAATACTTCTCAGCCTACTTATATTTATGTAATTTATCATTAGAGGTTGCCATTTTCATTTAATTTCAATATCTTTATTCAATAATTGTATATTGTACATTTATTAGTGGCAAATTCCTAACCTAGTAAATACAGTTGTAAGCTAAAATTACAATTTATATAATACTAAGGGCTTTTCCTCTTATTGTAGCATAATTGTGCGTTATCTGGTAAGCTTTCTCTCGCAATGAGAGCAGATTCAAAAATGTATTGGGCAAAGACAGTTAGTAACATTTTAAAATGTTTAAAATGAATTTTTACACTTACATCATTATTTAATCCTATCATTGTTCTTAATGCCCTTTGCTGTAATTTTAGGATTCGAGTAAGATTTTTCTTTGTTGTAGTTCCATATAAAGATATGCCGTATGAAATGTGGCTATGGACAAGAGAATTATTTTATATTGTTTTCAAAGTACTGATATTACATACATAAGACATATTTTTCAATGCAAATATCCCTGAATTAATCTTTGAGCAAACATGATCAACGTGGTCCTGCCAGGATAGGTGCTTATCAATTTTCAAACTTAAAAAATCTATTTTTCCAACTTCTTTGATTTCATCAGAATCCAAAATAATCAACGGTTCTATTTTGTTTTTACTTTGCTTAGTTGAAAATGATATAAAATTAGTTTAATTTTTGTTTTTTTTTTTCGAGATTATTAGATAGTAAGTAATTTTTAATATTTGCAAGTTCTATAAAGGTATCCGTTTTGATGTGTTCTACTGTTATTCCTGTAATTTTTAAGTCAATGTCTTCAGCATATAAACACATATTTCCACAAGGTACACACAACAGTGCATTTGGAATCTTATCAATGTAGCAAAGAAATAAAACAGGGCCTAGTATTAAACCCTGAGGGACACCAAAGTAATAAGCTTTTGTTTCTGATCTGTTTTTTACCAGCCAATTGTTTTTATTAGACATGATTTCAACGTATTGCTTTCTATCTGATAAATATAAAATCCAATGACATCCAATGTAATATAAAATTGACATTCAATAATTTTAACCTTATCAGATTCGCATTGTCCAAATAAGACATCCCACAGTTTGAAGTTGTATTTGCAGAAGGAAAAATATATATTTGACTAAGAAAGTAACATTATTATTACGTTGGTATAATGTTCTACCGCATACCATTATTACTAATGCAAATCAATTAGCAAAAACACATTTATATTGACTATGAAAATAAAAATGGATTTACTTAATTATACCACAGTCACAATGATAATATCCTAATAAATACAACATTAGCCTATTATTCATGGTATTTACTGTTACCAAAGAGTTTTATGAGTTTTTGTTACCACTTCATTCAGCCTTAGCAATCTACCTCCAGTGCAAATTAATGAAATCCTCACTTGTTTTTTAAAATATTTTTTGTGGTGATTTATTATCAGCCACAGATTATGTATTTATTTCACATAAAAACACTTTTTGGTATGTTATTCAATATTTAACTTTTAGTTTTAAACACAACACGTTGTTCCCTGTGATGGTATATATACTTACAAGTTAAATTGGGTTAATACTCTGAGTGGTCTAACATTTATTTTCTTTTAGGTTAAAATGTCACAAAACAAGTCCAACAAAAGGTTTTACCGCGTGGACAGCGGACATGACTTCAGTGTGTTTATGGACCGAGGACAAAGGGCAGCACTTCACAACAGATGGACCTTTGAGATTGCGTGGGAGGTTGCTAATAAAGGTAAACAGTCCATGTAGCATTTGTTTGATTAAATATCACATAGTGGGTAAACAGACATAGTGGGTAGTTAACTTTTTCACCAAACGACTTTGTTTTAAAAGAGTTTACACACATGATTTTAGTCCAGGAAATAGCCGTTTGCTGCCTGCTTAATCAGATGACGTACTAGAGTATGGTATGGTACCGGTAATGAATTTTACCGGATATCAGCTGGTTATTATTATTGACAATAAGTGATTATAAACAAACAACATAACTTCCCTTAGAATTAGTTAGTAGTGATAGTTGGGCGCTTTAGTCGGTGGGAATGAACAAATTTGTACAATTATTTTTATTGTTGGGTCTGTTAAAAGTAATATGGCAAAAAATATCGCACATCACTTGTCCGAAATAGGTTAACCATACTTGGATGGTAATCCCGAATCCGACTTTGTCTCACGTGGGAACAACCATACTCATCCGGTTAAAACCCAATTTCTGGACTATTAATGTAATATACAGTTTTCTTACACTGCAGCAAAAGCGGCTGTTTTCGATCAAAGCGTTCCTGGTCCAATTAGTTATTTTTATCATACTTACTTACTGATGGGGCGTCACAAATCTCAGTTGATATTTTGCCTCGTAGACCTCCGCCATCCAGATTTCTCCTCCGCATTGGATCACATCCTTTTTGACATGGCCATACCATCTTAATTTAGTCCTACCCAACGGACGTCTTCCTGTAGTTACGGCCTCACAAACCTCCTTCAGTCTTGTGCCATCCTGTCTCCAAAGTACATGACCTCATTTTCATTTTCATTTTTTGTCGAAGGAGCCAAAAACACCCCGACTGTAACCCAGTACCTATAACTAAACATAACCCGGGACCCATAGTGTAGGCCGGAGCTTACTTACCAACCTTGGACACACCATGGGCGGATGACTTAAGGCCATCAAGCTCACCGGCTGCCGAAGCAACCTTTCAGAAAGAGGGTTACCCCTCAATCCTAACCAGGGATACCGGTTACTTGGTGGCACGCACACTCCAAATGGGTTCCACCAGGGCCGAAACCCTGAAGGACCATAATGGAATGCCCTAAACGCAACACAGTGCAAGCAACACTCGGGAACTATCTAATCCCTGACAGGCCGAAACCCGCAATCAAAGCCAGGAGGAAGGGGACCAACCCCCTATTTACACCACTACCTGATCGAGGCCTACCCATTGCTGGGAACCAGGGATAACCAGGGCCGGATAGATCCCCAGAAATCCCCAGCGGGCTTGACCCCAGCACCCGATCTACTTCGTTTGCCCGTCTAGCCCAACATCACTGCCAGGCCATCAGGGTTTCCCAAAAGGAGGCAGGTATAGAAGTGGGACCCACCCGGATGAACCTATCCACCAAAGGTGGCGACACCCTTAACTCAATTGAGGTTCCAGGGGAGAACCCCCAACACTCTCGAGAACCATACCCTCAGGGCTCAGAGACAGGGATAGGCTGATGGAGTGTGCAAAACCCAAGTACATAACCTAGCCAACTAATTCTTTTGGCTTTTATAAGCGCTATTATATCAGGCTCTTTATATAGGGCACGCAGCTCTCTATATTTCCTTATGTGCCAAACTCCTTCTTCCTAAATTTTTCCGAATATTTTACGAAGTACCTTATTTTCGAACACCATCAAACGTTCTTAATTTCTTTCGGAGAGAACCCATGTTTCACATCCATACAATAACACTGGCTGTACAATGGTCTTGTATAATCTTAATTTTGAGCATCTTGATAACAGTTTGGATGACAAAAGTTTTGTACAGTTATTGGCATTTGCTAGTTTACTTTGTATCTCCAGATCTTCAGAATATGAACTGTTGACGGTAACTCCTAAATATTTAAAGCTCTCCACACAATTAATTGAATAGTTGGCAATGTTGAAATTTACATGTCTATTGTTAGCGTTCGGCCGAAGTGAACAATTTTTGTCCAATATATTTAAGTCTACTCCCAGTTTTATGCCTCCTTGAAGGTTTTGTTGTCTTTTGTAGGTAAGGCTTCTTCTATAGCTATATTGAAGAGTGTTGGAGAAATTCCATCTCCTTGTCTCACCCCTGTGTTTATGTGGAAACTTTCAGATATTTCTCCATCTATTTTTATTTTAGCTTTGGACTCATGTATGCATAGTCTTGTTAATCTTATCAACTTTTCTGGTATACCATGCTTTTCCATGTTCTTAAAGAGTGATTTTCTGTCTATGTTGTCATATGCTTTCTTAAAATCAATAAAGATTCCATATAGGTACACTTTTATTGTACTCCCAGTATTTTGAAATTCCCTGTTTCAGCAAAAAGATTTGGTCAATTGTAGATCTTCCTTTCATAAACCCTGTTTGAAGTTCTTCAATTATGGTCTCCGTGAAGGGATTTAGCCTTGATAATAAAATGTTAGAAAATATTTTATAAACAGTATTCAGAAGGGATATACCCCTATAGTTGGAGCATAACTGTTTATCACCTTTCTTGTGGATAGGAATTATAATTGCTTCTGTCCACTCCTCTGGTATAGTTTCGGTTTCCCATACCCTAATTATTAATTTGTGTATTTCTTTCATAAGGACTTTTCCGCCGCTTTTGATTGTCACAGTTGTCATTTCATCTTCTCCAGGGGCTTTATTATTTTTCAGTTGTTTTATATGGCTTCTTCTACAGTACTTCTTTTTCAGTAGGTGGCATAATATTAGGCTGCACATTGTGGTAATTTAAATTGTCTTCTATGTCTTTATTTCTTATGCTGTCACAGTTTAAGAGTTCCCTAAAATTGTCTCTCCATATTTTAATCCCAGCAGACTTTGTCCATTACTAGGTTGCCATTTCTGTCTTTAATACCATAGTTCCGTGCCGAGAATCCAGATTTGAAGAAGTGCATTGTTCTGTAAAAATCTCTAGCATTATTTGTTGTTCTATCACTTTCTGCTTTTGTCAACTTTCTGTTGAGGAATTCTCTTTTGCATCTTCTGAGTAATAATTTAGTGTTTCTGTTGATTTCACAGTATTCCATTCTTAGCTGTTCTGCCCTTCTCTGTTCTTCTTCGTTTAATGCCTTCTTACTTGATAACCACTTAAGCTTAATTACTTTTCTTTTGTCAATCAACGTCTGACATTCTTCTGTAAACCGTGGGTTTTTTATCATCTTTGGTTTTTTCCACATACTACTTTTACTGTACTTTTGACAGCTTTCTGAATTCTCTCCCATTGCTTTTTGACTAGATCCGGTTCTGTTTCTGATAACTCCAACGTTTCGTTTTCTAATACTTCAATTCTAATACTTCAAACCTATTAGGGTACTAAGTTTAATTTGAAATTCTTTTTGTACTGCTGGTAACTTCATTTTCTCTGTATCTAACTTTTCTATTTTCACAGCTTTCCTCTTTTTTAAATCTATTCATTGTCTTATACCAATAAGCACTAGGAATTGGTCTGTTCCTAACTCTGCTCCTCTTACTGTTTGCTCATTTGTAATGCTGCTTATGTGTCTACTGTCTACGAGTACATGATCTATCTGGTTGAAAGTTTTTCCGTCCGGAGATGTCCTTGTAGCTTTATGAATTTTTTTTCTTTGAAACATTGTGCTGCAGATTTTCATGTCTGTTGAGCTGGCTAACGTTAGAAGTCTCAGGCCATTTTCATTTGTTAATTCATGTAGACTCTCTTTACCTCCTATTTCTGCCCATACCTCTTCCCTTCCTACTTTTGCGTTTGCATCTCCAATAACTAATTTTACATCATATTGTGGTAACTTGTTTATCTCGTCTTCTAACATGCCATAGAACAGGTCTTTTTCATCCTCTTCTACTTCTTCTGTGGGAGCATAAATACTTAATATTGATATATTCTTGAATTTCCCACCTATTCTAATATTGCACAATCTTTTGTTTATTGGTGTGAATAAACGAAAGATTGTGCAATTTATTTTTATCGTAGGGTTAAAAAAATCAGCTGGAGTTGAGGACATCAGCTGTCTACTCTAAAAATTGTCTGCTGATAATGTCCAATAAAATGTCCGATTAATAAATATTTAAAAATATACTATCGTATGAATATATATTTTTATGTGTTCATCATCAACAACACATAGTATATTTCACTGCAATAAATACAGTAGGAACTAGATATCTTGTACCTGAAGTGGTTAAGTTCGAGTTTTTTGAGTCAGCAAAGTTTGAGTTATCAAGGTGTAATACCATACCAAAAATTTAAGATACTGAGGTCCTAAGTTGTGACAACTGACAATGGTTTTAAGTTAAGTCATGACCTTCATCACCCAAGTTTTATACGTTAAACATTTATAACTCTAGCTCAAGCTATTTCTACGCACTGAAGAGTAAACTGCAGAAGCAAGATGAACAATTAGTCTGCATGTTTGCTGTAGCAGGGGTGTTGTAATATTGTTACATTATAGGTCTTTATTTTTAAAGCATTTTCATTTCTCTTTTAAGGGATCCTACCCTAGAAATCTTTATCATGTTATATTACAGTTGGCAAATTCTCAAATTAATTCAATGATCATCTTACACTTGAAAATACTTCTGTTTAAACCGTACACTTCAATTTACTAATACATATGTCAAAATTATTGCTACAGAAAGTTGAAGTTTGGTTCTAACTTGTAATTGTAGGCAAAGACAAGTAAAAAGTTCTTAGGAGGCATAACTTTTGCTTGGTAATTATCTAGATTCCACCCTTTAATTTGCACGTAACCAAAAACTTCAATTATTTGCCTTTTTGTCAATAGAGAAAACTGAGAAACAATTTTAACATATTTCATGTTTATTGAGTAAAGAACATTTTATATTGTTTATTTATAATATATAGTTGCAATTTAATGTATCAAAGACTCATTTGCTATTTTCTTTATTAATATCAGTATTAACTTGGGAAATCTATTCACTAGTTTCTCCTTGTTTGAAAAACTAGATAACAGGACCCTTTTTATTACTTAGTAAGGAAAAAATGTACAGATCAATTATTTCTCTGCATATATTCTAGAGAGGAAGAAAAACTAGCCAAGTTGATAGTAAAGGCCAAGGTTTTTTAACTTCAAGCTGAAAATTAACTGTTATTTGTCATTGATTACATCCCTCATTTTTTATGCAAATGTTAAAATTGAAAGGTGTTCCTAATGTAATCAACAATAAGTTTGTTTATCTCCTACCAATTCATTGAGCTATTTTTTATTATCTTTACGTTAAAGCCCAATTGAGATAATGAGTATAGAACTTTGTTTACGCAGTGAAAGGTTATTAGTTTTGACCTTTTGTTGTAAGATAACCTTGATTTGGACCCAAATAGAACGTCCATTTCTTGCCAAGAGCTGCCAAATCCTAAGTATCTATTTATTGAAGCTTCATCATTTTGTTTTGACTATTTTTCTTTGTAAAATAAGACTGTATTGTAAAAATAATACGAATAGGTTCACATATCAAGTTCCTGATTTTTTACAGGAGTTGCTTCCCAAAAAAGTCACTTATCACTTAAATATACAGTTGGAAATTATTAATAAATAACATGTAGTTTTAAAACACTATGTGCTTGTTATATGCAATTAGCCCTTACAGTGTATGACAGTGATTTAGAAAAATAAATATCTTTAGAAACAAGACATTTCTGCAGCAACAAATTGGACACACTCATTTTTGCTTATGAAACACATTTTGACTTATTTTCAGATTTTTGAAATTTGCAATTTATAAATGTATACAGTGAATTAATAGTAATTAAAATTTAATTGGAACTTCATTAAATTCTGCCAAAGCCAAGCTAAGCTTCCTTTTTAAGAGTTAAGCTCTTTAAGCTCTATTCTCTGGCTTCAACTTGTAATTGAATAGTTGGATTTCCAACATTGTTTTACTGTGCATTTAAAAATGATCTTCCATTTTTAAGTACAGCCAAATTTGTTGGACAATATGTCTTAAATGTGAACAATTTTAGTTTATGTCTTAGCTATGGAACCAGGGAAAAATTATAAAGCCCCTGGATATTCAAGCTTTGTAATGGCACTGAAAATCTTCAACCACTGAACTTAATATCTAATCATTATTATTTTCTATGACCGTGGAATTTCTTGATGGTTTTTTGATGAACTATGATTCTACCAATTATACCCAAATGAATTATAGATGATATTAAAACTGTTGATTCTTTGTAGAATGTGATTCTAGTTTTCAAACCCAATGAGGGACTTGGAAAGAGGAGACTTGGAAAGGTCCTTCCCCAAAACTTTAAAAAATATCTATGAGTCCCTACTGATTCCACCTGATATTTTTACAGTTTTCAAGCAAAAACACATTCTTCCTATTTTTTATATAGGCCTAGGCTTAATCGCTTTCCATATTTAAGGGTGAGGGGACAGCCTTCGAACATCCACATCATCCTTAAAAATATCCCTGTCGCAGCAAACCTGCAGACTAAGCAAACTTCCATTTGTCTGATTGGATTTTTACTCAAATATTTTCATAGATATGTCAGATTTATTCCCCATTTGAATAGAGGGTAAACTAGTTGTGTTACTGCTCCTGACACTACATAAAATAGAAATGTTTACTTCAGTGTCCTATTGAGGTTTTGAAACCACGGTACCAGAATAACTTGCAAGTTCTATTGGCCGAAGTGCCAAACAAGTAATGGGCATATTTGGCATGTAAACTACGATTTAATTCTGTGTGCAATCATTACTGATCACAAGCATTTTAAATTTTGAATACAATTTTAAAACTCCAAAGCAGCAGTAATACTGAGTCAATATTGCAGCAACCCTGGTCAATCTTTCACACTTATGGAGATGATGTAATTTGAATCTGTACAATTTTTCTGTGGTTATTAATTGAAACATTAAACATTTTATGGATAATATTGCTGTTGGTTGATCATCTGAATCAGTGTGGTATTTTGGTATGGTTTATCTCAAATAATACATTCAAAATGCACTTTTATAATTGGCTGATTTTGTCTTTCACCTTCATTAAATTTAGAATTTTTATAAAGACAAAACCTATACCTTACTTATCAATGCGCTTATGAAAACCTTTTATTTTTATCAATTGCATATTTATTTTATTTCTTGCATTAATACAAAATTTTAGTAGCATGGATACAGTAAATATCCATCTCACCTTCATGCTTGTGAAATAATAAGTACGGTAAGGCTAAATGATGCATAGGCCTAGAATTGTGAATACAGTACTGGCAATAGATCTTGCAGATGATGGACAATTATGCCACTTGAAGAGATATTTAAGTCTTTAATGCTACCATATGGTGTTTTATAAGAATTTACTATAAATTTTGCAATAGTATAACATCTTTTGCTATTTTAAGTAATTTTGTGATTTGTATTTGTTGTTTACATGTGTGGACAAATAGTAAAACAGGCTTTGTGCAATAAAAAACTGCTAACTGCCCATGATATTAGGATTGGCTTTATTAATGCTTTTGTCACTATAATGTTGATGGTTGTTTGCTGAAGAAAACATGACAATTATTCGTTCATAAACAAGTGTTTGATTTCCACAAAGTAACAGTTTTTCTATCATTGAAATACAAATAAACGAGCGACGTAAGAATATGAAGAACATGCAGGGTGACTACTGGCTTCAAAATTAGTTATCTGTCTCTAAATGACAACCCCTTTTTAAAACTAGTATTTATTCACACTAATTCACGATTTAAATAATAAATAGTAATTTTTTAGCCAAATTCAAAGATAGCTATGCTGTTTAGACACGCCCTATTTAATTTTAAAATTGGAATCTGTCATCAAAGGTCTGTGATAGCTGATAACAAAAGACCAAGGTTAGGTTGGAGTTCAGCTTTATCAGGCCAAGGTCCCAATGCGCTGTAAGACGTCACTCAAATAATCATTTTCAGATTGGGCGCATAAGTTTTTGCCCTGATAACTGAACTTGCTATTTATTTCTACATCCATTCTCTTGGAAAATTACCATTATAGTAAAAACCAATATAAATATAATACATTTTTTTTTTTAATTCATGAACTTATTTAGTTTATTTTATATGTATATTTAGTTAAAAAATAAGGCCTGATTTAGGGGAAACATTTTAACACACGTAATTTAAAATGCACATATCAATTAACATAATATCTATTTTTGACTTACTTTGTTAAATAGTATAGGCTTATGTCCAATTATGTATAAATAAGTATGATTATTGATTACACCATTTGAATTTAATCTGAAAGTAAATATGTTAATAAGTAGAGTATAATTTATGGTTAGTCAGTTTATTTAATTTAAAATGTATAGAAATTACAGCGCAAAAGTAAAAAGTTCTACTAGACCAAATTTTTTACCACTCCTTAAATTTTAAATTCAGTTGTTTCTCAGTCATCGTTTATGAATCTGTAGCAGTAAACTGTTCTCAAATTTTGCTGGTGATACAATTACAATAAATTTTAACATTTATTATAAAATACTGAAAGGTAATATAGAGAAAACTAGTACATGGTAAAAAAAGGTCCTCAAATAACCTATTCCATATAAAAATGTAATTCCCAAGAAATTTTAAAATATTAAGGTTTCCAAAACGTACTTCCTAGATGTACTATGAAGCTTTTGGTATAGTTACCAAATGCAATCTATCTAAAATACCCGGCTCACTCCTTGCTTTGCTGTTAACCATCCACGCACGGGCGCTTAGTCTATGTGGATGGGCAAATGCAAGGTTAAAAGAGGCCGCTAACCTCTAAAAAAAAAAATATCAGTGGCCTTGTAAATTTCCTCATTTCATTAAAATCAGGTAAATATACAGTTAACAGAAACATAGGCCCACTAGCTAAAGCCACCAAGTTCTCTAATTTTAGTTAGCGTTACTTCATTTGAGTAGTCGATTAAATTAAGTTAACCAATTTATGAATGCTGATAGAGGGCAATTGTTTTCTAAAAGTCAGACTTGGTACCACAGTCAAATGACTGATCTGGTGCATTGTACCTAGTTAAATTACACCTACCCACATTGGTGTAAAACTAGTTTAATAAAGCCCCTATGGGGGGATGCAGGGAGTGGCATCAATGATATTGGATGATTTCTGTCAATGACATAATTGTAAAATGATTGCAATTATAGATGACAGAGCTTAAATTTATTTCTGTCCTGGAAGATAAGTTTTCAGGAGCATACACAATTGATCTAGAATATCTTACTAATTTATGGCAGATCAAATCAAATCAAATCAAATATATTTATTTCCATTCGGTACAATAAAGTACAATAGGATAAGCCAGATTGCATTTTTCAGAAGGAGATCCTTAATACTGGTAGTTAGAGAAGAACAGTAGGCATTAACGTCTCTTTTACTGTTCTCATTACCCTGTTAAGCTTTAGATTTACTCTTTTAGTACGCACATAGTTTGTTGGTGGCTCAGCCGGCAGAACGACATGCTACAAATCTCATGACAGCAATGTTATAGGTTTGAATCCTGGTGCCTGCCACTAAATTTGATCTGTACAGTTCACTCCTGCACTGTACCATCAAACTCCTTGCTTTGCTGTGTTTGATCCACGCGCAAGATTACAAGTCGTCACCAACATCTTTTAAATGAGAAATTATTTGAACAATGTTACTTGATGACTAAAACAGATTACTTCAATATTTTAGTTGGAGGAATCTACACCGTGATCCGATCGAAGGCCTATGTTTCTACAGAGGAGATGGGAGATCAGTATTGTCTGCTAGGACCATACAAGGAGCAATGCGCTAGGACAGAGGTGGAGGAACAGGAATTCCATGTAGGCAGTCCTCTACACACTGCAGTCTGCCGTATGAGGGAGAGGGGCTACCAGGTATCGTACCCTGTAAACATGATTGTAGAGTGTAGAATGTAAAATTTTAATAACCCATTCTATTGCCTTTGAATTCCTTTTATGACAAATAGGACCTACTTCTGTCTCTTGTATAACATTTTAGTCAACAACATGGCACTGAAAAAAAAAAACAGTTTTGCTTTTTATATGAACTACATAAGCTGTCTTTGTTTTATTTTGTGTTACGATAGTGTTTGGTTATTTTTTTTAATGTTTGACATCTTAAAAGCTTTGACAATAATGTGCTTCTAAAGAAACTAGTGAGTACCATAAAAAAAATTTAAATTCACACTTTATAATTCTTTACAAGGTGTATTTGTCCGAACTGCTTATTCATTTACTTATTTTATTGTGTGGAATCCTTTGAACCAATTGTCTTTCATGCTGTAGGCCTAGTCATGTTTTGAGGTGTCACAGGTATTTTGAGGTGTTTTGAGGTATTTATACATTATACATTTTGACAAAATCTATTGTAACTCATGTTATTTAATGATGAATAAAGATTTTATTTGATTTGATTTGATATACAAAGGTTAGGAGGCCCATTTCACTGTGTGGAATTTGGTGGACATAGACAGAACTAAAGACTTATGTAGGAAGTCCATTCCATTATGCAATGTTTCATATGATGCTATGATGTTTTGTATGGATTGAAATCTTATGAGACTATTCAGTAACTGAGAAAAACTCTAAACAAAATCAATTTAAAAAATGTATTTCTGATTTATATTTATACAAAAATTGTGTTAAGTATAAAACAGAGAGCTCCTGCGTACAAGGGTGGTAAACTTTACAACCACCTTACTGCTCAAATCTAATCATCATAACAAATGCACATAAAACAACAATGAAAGGAATATTTTTAACTACTCTGAGATATTTCTCGTAGTTAACAATATGCCATTTTTCTATGTTATTCATATTTAACTTTAATTTTGTTACTTTTGATTACTACAAAAATATATTTTTTGTTTAGGTATTAGGTCTATTGAGAAAAATAAGATGTTTCAATTTTTTTTAACATCAAACTTTGTATTAAAACTAAAGTAAAAATTTATTTTTTTTCTTATAACTGGCTTTAAGTGGTTTAATATTTTCCCTTGGTTTTTGTAATAAAATGAATGGATATAGTTAAAATGCCTGTTTGAGCTATTCCAGCTTAATAACTTAAAGTTGAAAAGGTTCTGTTTAGGTTGATTCTAAAATAATTTTACATATTTTTTTTATGAACAATTGTTGATTGTTTTATATATTTAGTTGAGAGACTTGAGAGTTGAATTATAGCTTAAGTAGCCTACTCTCCTTATAACGCCCATATGTAATACAAATGCTTCTTACCACATAAAAATACGGTGGGGTTGTTTATCTATTAGGCTGATGTACAATATTTCACAATTACCAAACTTCAGAAAATAGTTTTTACATATATTGTAATGAATCCAGCCTCAAGAATGTTTTCATTGTATTCTTTAGCAGTTCTAATTTTATCAAAATAAATGTTGGTAGGTACACACTGGCACCTGGTTGGTTGATGGCAACCCTCAACTCATCTTGTTTGACATCGGCTCCGCAGCTTGGAAACTGGATGAGTTCAAGCAGGATTTGTGGGCCTCAACCAACATTGGGATTCCTCACCTAGACGTTGAGGCCAATGATGCTGTCATTCTCGGCTTTCTAGTTGCTGAATTCATCGCTGAGGTAAGGAAGAATTTATCTAGAAGTTTATCAACTAACTAGGACTAAGAAGAAGTCAAACTTGGGGAATTGTGAGAAATTTGGTCTTGTTTCTGTCTAAGGTTCAATTTATTGAGAAGAAAAAAAAATCAATTTCTAATATTACTTAGACTGACTTAGACCTGAACCTGAAACTTAGACCTGAAACATAGTTGGTTCAGTGTTAAGTATTTTCTCTCTCTCCCTAAAACTGTGTATCTAAAAAAGTTTTGATGGAAAAGTTTTCATCAACTTTTTTTACTGATTCTGGTTCATCCGGCTTAGGCTGGCTAGTCAATCGTTGTGTTTTGAGATCTTAGAAACTATATTGTGGGTTGATGAAACCAGAAAGGAACTTGAAGGTGCAATTTGTCACATGCACTCTATCTAATATTATTGTGACTGAGTTTGAATATTTTTCCAATCAATGTCATCAATGTACATTTGATATTCTATTCAAAACTTCTTTATTCTGTAACATGTAAATTGTTTACAAAGAATAGAGTCAGACCTAACCTAAATTTTACATATTATTAATATCTAAAAATACATCCCACAGTTGAGTTTTCAGCTCTTAGTTATATATATACAACATACGTTAAGCATCACTCCAAGAAATTATGGAAAAAAGTAAAATTAAATAACTACAACTGAGTCTTAAAACTTAGTAAAACAATACTTAAAATAAGGATTATGTACATACAGTAATTACTATATCCTGGAATAACCACGTCCAGCAAAGATTTTTCTAATTATAATTTTCAGGTATGTCTTAATTATATTACTTTTGACTATGAGAAAAAATGTTGGAGAGAGTAAAACGTTGATTCAATCAAGTATGCCTTCAATAGTCTCAAAAACTTATTTTGGTTTTTTCCAATTTAATATTTCCCGGGAGGCCATAAAAAAATCTATTTCCTACATATGTTGTTTTCTTTTTGAAAAATTCCAAGTTATGTTGTTCTACTAAACGATGAGCTCTAGTATTATAAGAATGTATTGTATTGCCAATCGAAATCCTATTGCCAAGTAATGTAAATTTTATTGTTTCATAAATGTGTAAACTGTAAACTGTGAATATTTTTAAATCTTTAAAAATATGTTTTACAGAATCTTTTGATTTTAAATGAAACATTATTCTTAAAGCTCTTTTTGCTGAATCAGAATTTTATCCATGTTCTTCTTTGTTGTTGATCCATATATACCAACACCATAAGCAATATGTGAATGTATTAGAGCAAAATATATGGATTTTAAGGTTTTGTTTTAATATTACAGGAGTAGACCAGTCTCCTCAAAGCATATAGACCACTTGAGGTTTTATTCGTAATATGATTAATATGGTTGTCCCAAGTTCATCTATAGTCAAGCCTAAGAATTTTATTTAATTTAAATGATTTAGTATTTCATCTTCTAGGAATATTGTTGGACTTATTCTATTTTTTGCTTTTTTTGTTGAAAAAGATACAAAATACAAATACAAAATACAAGATACAAATTTACTGGAGTTTAATAGCAGATTTTTACTATTTAAAAAGTCTTGATATGAACTGTATTTATTCTGTGTTGTTTACAACCTGCCAAAGTAATCATAAATAATCTTTATTATCATGAGATTATTAAGAATATTAAGGGAGTTTCTAGAAAATGGCAATCACACCTTTTACACCAGGATAATTTGAGTATTACAGTTTATAGATATTCAAAACAGTACTTTTTAACACTAACAAACTTAAAATACAAAATAAAATAAAAATAATTTTGAAAATACACTGTATCAATTTTTAAAACTCTTCTGGCTTTTAAATTAGTAGGCCTAATACTCAAACACCATTGTTTAGTAATTTAAAATTCCAATGCAAGAGGAATAGTCCAAGGAATGTATAGGACGAGGGCAACAACACGTTGATTACATTCCAATCAATGGAAGACATTGCATAATATTTATTTAAAATGATCTGAAATGCCCCAACCCCCCTCAAAGCAGAATGTAATCCATCCTCTTACACAGAATACATTATAATCCATATAATATAATAATAATTATTATTAAGGGTGTGCGAAGCAGCAAACACTTTTTGATTCGAAGCAACGATTCGACTAAAAGATTTTTTACATATATTCTAATATAAGATATATATATATAATAATAATGTAAACATATAAAAGTCAAAGCCCTCACTCACTCACTGATTCATCACTAATTCTCCAACCTCCAGACTAGCTAGAAGGCTGAAATTTGGTATCTTTAGGCATTACATAAGAAAACTAAGGAGTTTTTGTTCTGATCTGACTTTCGGGCTCCACCCCAGTAGCTCTGTAGTTTCCCATATTAACCTTATGAGTATTGGTATTCATATTTAAAAGGAATTAATGAATCTTGACAGCTGTTTCAATTAAACAAGTTGGTTCTATGATGTTTAATAAATAGTATTAGAAAGTTACAAGTTACAAGGTTTACCAACAGGTAGCAGCACTATTATTTGTTTTTAAACCAAGCAGAACTGTCAAAGTAGGATTGTTCACAGTTGTGTTTATGTTTTAAATTTAATAAATAATTTGTAATATTGTGCGAATAGGGCGATTGTTCCAGGGGGAGTAATTTGAAGCTCCTGGTTAAAGGACAGTTAGACGGTAAATTAATGCAAAAGGAAATTTCAGCCTTCAGCGGGTTCTTAGTAGTAATAAAACACACATATCGGGGAAAGCCGACGGGTAACAGCTAGTATAATATAATCTTATATAATCTAATCTGCACCCTCAGAACCAACCCATCTGCTCTGAAGCCTTAACATCATCATTCCGCTGAGTGATGTGATACAACGAACTCTGAAGACCATGATCCTGAATATTGCCATTTTATATAGTGTTAATTTGTTTGTACAGTTCAAGAAGGCAGTGGAGGAGCTAAACGCTGGGCCACCTCGTATAGTCACACATTTCCACGAGTGGCAGGCTGGAGTTGGACTCATAGCTCTGAGGACCAAGCAGATTGCTGTGGCAACAGTGTTCACAACACACGCAACACTGCTCGGCCGATACCTTTGTGCTGGCAACACTGACTTCTACAATAATCTCAGCACGGTAAGTCCTGGTAACCTCTATGAAAACTTTAGTACTGTATAGTAAAATTCTCCATTCCAGTACTATAAATAATCTGCCTTCAGTCTGAGGAAATTAAAAATTGGGAATAAGTCTTCGTGACTTTTTGGGAAGAGTGTGCAGGCAATAGGTGGAGGTTGAGCATACTCCTGATAAAAAAAATATCCTGACATATATTAGTAGCTGATTTTCTATTTTAGCGGTATTTCTACTTACCTTGCAGTAGCACCTATTTTTTAGATGCAACACTGCAGTATATCAAAATTGCACAGATCAGCAAATATATAACTTAATCAAGTAATTCATAATTAATCAAGTAAGTTTTGCCACTAATTATGAATCAGACTTTAAGGATTTATGTAATAGAGGCAGCGCTTGGGTACACATACAATTGTCATTGATTCGGCTCAAAACACTTCTGCACTGGTTCCATAGTTTGTAATTTATACCGCAGAGCTTCTTGAGAAAGTGCAAAAATATTTATGAACATTTATGAAATAGCATTATGTAATGATGCATTGGCTTGCAGTTCAATGTTGATGAGGAAGCAGGGAAACGGCAGATCTATCATCGATACTGCATGGAGAGAGCCGCATCTCATCTCGCTCACATCTTCACTACCGTCTCTGAGATCACCGGATATGAAGCTGAACATCTGCTCAAACGTAAGGCCGAAGTCATCACTCCTAACGGTCTCAACGTCATCAAGTTCTCTGCCCTTCACGAGTTCCAAAACCTTCACGCCAGGTCGAAAGAAAAGATCCACGAATTCGTCAGAGGACACTTTTATGGGTAAGTATACTTTACATTTCAGAAAGTGAGTATGTGCAGAACTATTATGAATGGTGTCTAAGCTTGACAATATTGTTTTGCTCGGTTGAAATATTTCGAGGATTGCAGTGGTAGGCCTAGTCTTGTGACTGACGAATTGGTGGCGAAAATCGATGAAAAAATCTGTGTAAATTGTTGTTTTACAAATACAATTCCCAGAACATTTTCCTCAAATGTCACTGAGTTTACCTCATCAAATTGTGGTCGGTAAACTTGGATACCACATATTTTGTAGGTTCCAAAATTGCTAACGGAAGACCACCAAAAACAAAGAGTTGCTGTAGCACTGACATTTCTGAAAGAGAATGACAAAAGTGGAAACCATGTTATTGATCGTATCATAACTTTGGTGACAAGACTTGGGTAAAGCACATCAACTGTGAAACAAAAGGGCAGTTGATGGAATGAGGTCACACGCATTAGCCCAAGTAAAAGATTAACTGTTTGCAAACGGTATCAGCAAGAAAAATCATGGCTACTGTGTTTTGGGATGCTCAGTGAGTGATTTTGGTAGATTTTCTTGAACATGTCCGAACAATAAACTCAGAGGTATTGTAAAACACACACTGAAAATTAAGATGTGTGATACGAAACAAGGGCTGTGGAAATCTAAGTGAAAAAGTTTTGTTTTTTCATGAGAACGCCCGTCCACACACGGCCAATTGTACCCGAGAGCTATTGGATGGAAAGTTTTCAATCATCCGCCATACTGCCTGGATTTGGCACCGAGTTACTACCATCTGTTTCCAGTGATGAAAATTGTGGCTCACTACGCAATGCTTGACACTGAGCATTGACACTGATCTCCAATCCGGTGTAATCCAATGGTTAAACTCACGGGCGGCAGATTTCTTTAAAGAGGGCATTGAAAAGCTTGTAGCACGCTATGATAAATGACTTAATTTAAATGGCAAAATAGCCTGAAAGTTTAGCCAAAATGTTTATTAAAATGTATATTGTTTTTTTTTCTTTTTGTAAATGGTTTATATCAAAACGTCTGTTACTTTCTGGACAGCCCTCGCAGATTTTTATTTAGGATTATACATATTTTAAGTATAATAAATAAATAAATATATAAATAAAAATGTCTTTATTAAGCATTCCTCTGGTGCACCAGCTTTTCAGAACAACTTTCGTCACTATGCTAAATATCTTACTCTACAGGTGCTATTTGGCCGTTATACACTTAGACAATAATTACAAATTGTTTAAAAACATATCTTTAAGTTTTTCTTTAAAAGTTTTGCTAGATGCAACAACCTTCATGCCGTCGGGTAGACCATTGTACAACGAGGGACCAAAATATGAGAAGGTCTTCCTCCCAAGCTCTAGAGAAACTCTTGGGAGGTGAAGCCTCCCACCATGACGTGTCCTGCGCTGGGAAACCTTGTCGCGAAGAGAAAGCCTCTCGTAAATAGTCGGGCTTACAAAGAGAAACGCTCTGTGGGTCATGCAGCACGTCAACAACCTGCACATGGCTTCAACGTAAAGCAGACTAGCTACTTCTCAAAAGGGAGAGACATGATCAAATTTTTCAAATTTTTTTTCATAATAGAGCATGCAGTGAATTCCTGGATTTAATATATCATCAAAATAGACCACTCTTTTTAATGTCTAAAAAGAAATTCAGATAGAATTTTGTTGGACTCTTCCTATTTTTATTGTAGAGTTTTCTTGGAAAATTGTAGACTCTCCAGGGGATACCGTCTTGTTACCTTCTTCCTCATGTGTCAATTCCATCTATTAATAAACCTAAGACAACATATACATGATTCCTAGTCCTAAAGTTTGTACCAGATCTATCTTAGACACCTTTTATTACTTTTATTTCTCAACTTTCAGGCATTATGACTTTGACCTGGAAAAGACTCTGTACTTCTTCACAGCAGGCAGATACGAGTTTTCAAACAAAGGAGCAGACATCTTCATTGAAGCTCTCGCTCGTCTAAACCACTATCTTAAGGTGAAGCTCTAAAAGTCTCTTTGATAGCTCTAATTTAAATAATTTACTTCTAGTTTCAAATTTTAGGTTTCTGGATGTTCTTAAGTTGAATTTGGTGAGTTGTGGTGGCTCAGTTTGTTAGTAGCTCAACAGACTACTTGCCACAACTTTGAATTTTTCAGTTGAATACAATCCTGTACAGTACTGTACCTTCTCACCCCTTCCTTTTTTAATACGCAAAGGCCTTTGAGGCACAAGAGGCCAGGCAAATGAAAGGTTAAAAGATAATAACAGTTACAGTTAAACAGTTATTACAGTTAAATATTACAGTTATTACAGTTATATTTTTAGTTGTTAAATGGGGTAGAATAAGGCAGAATATAGTCAAGTTTGCCCCATTTTACAACTAAAAATCTTAATATTTCAGCTATTTCTTATTCAATCTTTTGGCACTTGTTTAAATGCCAAATAAAAGTGTTCCTGACATTTTTTCATAAAATCAGCCGTTTTTGAGTAATTTAAGTTTAAAGAATTTAAATGACCGCCATTTTTAAATTTTAAATTGAATCAAGATGAATTTTTTACATGGGTCTTTTCTACCTTAACATACATACCAAGTTTCATAAAGGTCGGTTGAAAAAATCCAAAGATAAAAATGTTTATGTAAAAAAAAAACAAAATGGCGGATATCTGGTTAACGAAGCGATTTTGGAAAAAATGTTATTCTTGATTTACTCTTTATATTGACCCAAGGAATCACTACGTAGATTATTTCCCCACCTTTTTTAAACACCCTGTCTTTTGTAACTGCTGTTAAATTTAATAGACATTTAGTGACATTGCATGGATGCTCATCAAACCATTTTCATGCGGCCTCCTCTTAAGTAGTAAGACTTATTTTCCAGAAGAGGAAAAAATATTTTAAATTACTTTTTTATTGACTAATTCTCAACTTTTGCCCTCAGTCATCACACCCAGATGTTACGGTAGTCGCCTTCCTCATCTTCCCTGCAAAGACCAACAACTTCAATGTGGAGAGTTTACGAGGTCATGCGGTAACCAAGAGTTTACGAGACACCATAAACGAGATCCAGAGCAAAATGAGCAAGCAGATGTACGAGATTTGTCTAAGGTAACATTCACTTTGCATTACCATATTAAATTTAATTTTGTCATACTGCAGCAAAATTGAATAGTTTTAATATTTATTCTTATAATCCCTAACCTAAAAAAGAACCAGCTTGAATTTAGGGAATCAGCTGTTAATTCATTTCTTTAATAATCTTTGATTGTAAATGTAATTGTAATGATCGACTGACAAGTTTAATACCTCGGTATCATCTGTTTGTTTATAATAAAATACAAGATCAAACCATTTTGGAAGTTTTCTTATAAATCTAAATATTATAAATTTTTTTATTTTATTATTCATTAAATAAACAAATGGTGTAGTATTATGAAAAATATTGTTCATCAAACGGACTAAACTTGTATTAAGACTCAGCCAATTCATTTCAATTTGGCTGTTGTACTCGTCGAAAATAATTCTGAAAGGGTTAAATTAGTGAATACCTCAATACCTTGTCATGGCAGAAAATTAAAATTGCAATTCTTGTATGTTATCAGCAAGAGATTGTAATGTAATGTGTTGTTAGTGAGGGATTGAAAGTCGTTTGTTGTTAGTGGGAGATTGCCGAACTCGGAAGAGTTGCTAACCAAAGAGGACAAAGTGAAGGTCAAGCGATGTCTGTACGCGCTGCAGCGCACAGGGCTACCACCCATCACTACACACAACGTGATAGACGACTGGGCTGATCCTGTACTGGCTTGTATCAGACGCTGCCATCTGTTCAACACTGTGCACGACAGAGTCAAGGTAACACTATCATTGTTGTCGTATATGCTTATATGTTTACGGGTAAATGATGGAATAATAACCATCACCCTACAGCTTAGTGTTCATTCATTAACAAGGTTCTCTTTTGGCCTCGTTTGGTGGTAAAAAATTGCAATCACAGGAGACGGTTATGGTGTTGCTAAGAAATAGGGGTCTGTGGGTACAGAAAATTTAAGGTCGATGCGGTTTCTATGTGGTAAATTGTTTTTACCTAGTTTCTTGATACAAAATTGGTTTAATACATGGTTACCAGTATTTTTTCAGTTTTCCTGTCAGGATTTTATTCAAACCATTATTTTTTTAGTTTTGATACATTGAGATTTCAATAAAGATGGATAGTAGCAAAAATCTGTGATTATTTTTTCAACAATAACCACACATTATTAATACATACCTTTTACTCCTAACAGGATTGTTTCAAGAAAGAAACAAAGTAGTAATGATAGTTGAATCCAGGAATTTGGAATCTCAAATCCGAATCCGAATCCTAAAAAAATTAATTCGATCCTGGAATCTCGTTAATCGAATCTCAAATCTGAATCTTTTCTTAGGATTCGGTGGATTCGAGATTCGGATTCGGTAGATTCGAGATTTGGATTCGGTTGATTCGAGATTCGGATTCGGTGGATTCGAGATTCGCATTCGACACATCCCTACAAAGTAGAGATAAATGAATTACCTATTTCATTATATTTGGTTGACAGATTCTAACACATTTGTGTCACAGGTTGTGTTTCACCCTGAGTTCTTGTCTTCCACCAACCCTCTGTTTGGACTAGACTACGAGGAGTTTGTGCGAGGTTGTCACCTGGGAGTGTTCCCCAGCTACTATGAGCCATGGGGCTACACCCCAGCTGAGTGTACTGTCATGGGTATTCCTTCCATCACCACCAACCTCTCAGGTATTGTACACCTCTTCATAGAAAAGACAGAAGACACCATCAGTTTAATTATGATAGTAAAAGTATTTAAATCATTCGCTGAGAGAAATGCAACCAAATTCGGGACTGTGTCGGCGATATCCTAAATCATTCTGTGTCTTCCAATACCATAAATACTACTTGTTGAAGTTTTTAGATCAAAGTCCATAGATGTTTTAATTTTGTTAAACAATAAAGTAGGGATGGACGGGTCTCAACATTTTGAGAAATTTTAAATCTTGTGAGACGAGATTTTATTTTGATTGAGATTTTTTTTAGAAGAGATTATTAAAAAAAACTAAAATCGCCTGCAGAAAGTCAATGCAATACCCGCAATACAGGAGCGCGTTGTTATTGTGTTTCCTTTGCGAAGGCGTTCCTATTTAATTCTTGAGTGTTAACATGTACATATCTATATGTATACATGTCTAAATGATGAGAAGTATTTAATACTTAGCTTGTAAATATTTTTCAATGTTGAACTATATACTAACTGATATCACCATGCATTGATTCATTATGCTGATGTATAATGCCATGATATCCTATGCGTGGTAGGCCTAATTAATATTTGCTTTTTGTTTTGTTTTTTATTCTGATGTTTTTTGATAACAATTTTTAAATATTCTTGCCTATTATTATTATTTTTGTATTTAGCCAGTCATCTGTCATAAATCAGTAGGTATTTAACATTGTTACAAAATCAGTTTAAAATATGTACATTTCTGGCGTATGAAAAGGGAAATCCTGTCTCTATCCCGTCCCAAAATTTTATGAGAAATAAAAAAATCCTGTCTCGTCTCAAAATAAAAATCCAATCTCGTCCATCTATAACAAAGTGTTATCTGAACTTGATACCATATTAAGCTGAAAGTTATTAAGTTTAGGTTGAAAGAGTGAAAAGATGGAATCCTCCCAAATGTGTGTTAAAAAATAAAAATAAACTAAAGAAGTTTGTTAGTTAATGCCGAACAGGATATGGCAATTTTCTGTAGCAGGTGACACCGTTAAATCCTTATTTTTGGATAGAGTTGAAAAAAAGAGTTAATTTTCCTTTATATTTTTTATTGTTGACTAAATATCTCAAAAAAAGTATAGGTTATCTAATATCTAGTCTCATATTAGTAAAATTTTGAATTCATACCTGACATAAAAAAATTATTGGTTGCAGGTTTTGGATGCTTCATGCAGGAGCACATTGCTGATCCACTGTCTTACGGAATATACATCGTAGACCGTCGCTTCATTGGTCTAGAGGACTCTGTGCAGCAATTGGCTCAATATATGTACGACTTTGCTCGGCTGAACCGACGACAGCGTATCATTCAGCGTAACCGAACAGAACGTCTCAGTGATTTACTAGACTGGAGAAATCTGGGAATCGTAAGTTCTGTGGATTTTTTGGATATCATTTTTTTTTTTTTTGTGTATTTTGAAAATAGAAATTTAGTTTTAAGTTTTTTACTACTGTAAGTATTTTATTTCATTTATTAGATGTTCTATATTGAGAAATATCAAAACCATTAATCGCCTAGCTAGCTTTTTTTAGTGTAAGATTTTTTTTTTGTTAGATAGTTGAGAGTTAAACTACGAGATCGAGATTTCCATTTTTCGTTCTTGCCAGTAGTTATTTTCTTTCTCGCTAAAAAGATTAGATTTAACCATGACTGTTAAATCCTCCATTTATTGATTTAAATTATTTTAAACCATTGTATATATTAAACTTTTAAACCAAACTATAAAATCTAGTTTTGTCGAATTATTTTTCAATTCACAATAATTAAATGTACCTCATACACAATATTATTTAAAAAGCATAAACTTCTCCTTCAGATTTTAAACTAAATTTATTAAACTGTATGTGTTACTATTGATCATTAAACAAACACATACAGTGCAATAGATCTTGTCATGCAACATGCAATAAAATACAATAAAAAAAAAACAGTACTTCAAAAGCCAAAGGTCTGCAAATGCAGATTTCTGTAACAAGCAAAGTATTAGGGATAAATTCTGCAGATTTTGTGTGTTCGTCAAACTTCAGAGCTTATAATGAAGCTTTAAGTCCACTAATATAAACCAAAACATTAATCTTCAAGATATTTAAAACCATATCTGAAATATAGATCGGTGATCTGTTTGTTCACAGTACTACAGGCAGGCTAGACAGAAGGCTTGTCAGGTCGTGTACCCTGACTATGTAGATGATGATGAGGAAGGGATGGGGGGTCGCACCATGAACTACCCCCGTCCCTTCTCAGAACCTCCGAGTCCAGCTGCGTCTCGTCACACAACCCCTGCAAGCTCCCGTCATGGTTCTGATGATGAGGATGAAGTCGATGATGAGAAAGAGGTAACACCATCTGATCAAAAATTTGTTTCCGTAAAATTTACAACTTGTGATAAATAGGGGTACGTACCTCATCAATGTTAATCCTATTACATACAGACTTAGGGTACTGATTCCAGAACATTATAGATGGTTCCATTCATTTGCCTCATCTTCTTAATATTAATATGGGTATGCAGGACAGAATTGCTTACTTCGGGTCGGGTAAAAAAAATTTGGCCTTAGGGTTTCGGGCGAACGTAGGGTTGCTTTAGAAATTATTGATTTGAAAAAATATCAATTGGTTGGGAGAGGATTAATATAAAAACAACCTTTTTTTATATATTGTCATCTTGTACCGAGGTGAAATATGAAATCGTGAAAATCTCGCCATAACACGTAACCTCCGGTGGTCAATGCTACCATATATAATGGCAAACACTACATGTATTCATTGTTAATGTTTTTAATATATCTGTGTTCGTGTGTTGAATAATGTTTGTTTGTACATTGATGACAACGACAATGCGTTCAATCAGTTTTAAGAAGACTCGGCTTGAAAATGGAACCTGTAATGTTCCGAAACTAGTCGCCTTAGACTTGAATAGGATTGACGTTAAGGTTTCCTATTTATTACACATCCTAAATCAATTCTGGAGGCAATGATGAATAAAATTACAACTTGGTATTTGAGCAAATGAATTTTCTCGGAAATAAATAACACAGTTTTTCTAATACCACTAGTGTGAACAATATTTTTTTTATCATCTGAGTTTTGAGGGGTAGTTTAAGGGATTAATTTGATTAGTTTCCCTTTAAATAGGTTTATATTTAATTTTAATGAAAGTATTATTGATTATTTGGAAATGGATTTGAGTTTTTGGAAGATAAGACATCAAGAGTATCATCTTAACTCTTATTTGATGAAGAATTATTGATGTTCAAACAGTATGCAATGAAATGAAGTTCTTAGGTTAAACTTGACACTTAAGTCTTTCCAAGCATTTGCTTACACCTGGTTTGTAACTTCCTCACATTGATTGAGAAAGTATTTTACATTAGGTTGCATTTATCAGACTAACTCAAACTAAATTTGGCATTATCATATTTTCATAGAGTTCCATTTGTATGTGAAATTTATATAGAGTTAGCGCAGTTATTTTTTAGTCAAATACTTAGAAGTTTTTATGGATTGTATCTACTACTGCATTAACTTATTTTGGGTGCTTTTGGCGAAAATTGTGTTATTAACATGATCTTTCAACACATTATGAACAGTTAATGAACTGCAAAGTAATATTAATTTTACATTGTTCTTTCAAAGATTTTTATTTGTTTCTTGTAATTGTTAGTCATCTTTACTTGTTTCGCAGGGAAGGTAAGCTTTATAAAAGTTTACCACCCCAATTTAAGGGTACGGGTATACACTTTTTCTGAATTCATTTATCTATGTCTTAGAATCCTGTTTACTTTAGTTTCTCTTCACATTTACTAAAATAAATTTTGTTTGCAGTTGGCAGAGTTGAACATAAACAAATGAAAGTCCAAGTGCCAAACCATCTCCAGGGCTGGTGCAGGCTAAGTGGTTTGGTTGTGCAATCTCTCCTTTAGTGGTGTAAACTCTATTTTTTATACAGTCAATACTCTCAACAGACCATTTTTTCAAGGATACTATTTAGTTTTGCCTAGCACAAACGTTTATCTGTCCAGTGAAAGTGTTAAAACACTTTCTACACTCTACTATTTTGGATATATATATTTTTAATACAGTAGTTTCATGCCAATTGTTGTTATATTTTGTCAAAATGCCACAAATACCACTTCACCGGTTCCTTACTGAAGTGACAAAGTGCCTTACATATAACGGACTAAATTGTCAGTTCTATAGCTTTACGTGTGTTCCTGGTGATTAGATTACCCATTTTACATTTTTCGTGAACGTAAAACTTAAAAATCTTTTACTATGTTAGGTTTATAAGTAAGGGATTTGACTTAAAAAAATGCCATCTCTAGCAATTCAGTTTTCATCCTTATACTCACATTTTTATAATGTACGTGGGTAAATACACATAATATATTTTTAAGGTTCAGTACTCAAATTGTAAGGCTTAACAAGGCAGTACTGCTCTTTGAATAAAATCAATAATTTTTAACATATATTATATGTATTTACTGGTGTACACATGAATCAAAGGTGTAAGTTGACACGACTGAAATGTTGGAGGTTTCATTTGAATTGCATCACATATAAAACTTGTCATCGAGTCAGGTAGCTGCTCCATAAAATGTGTTCATTTTTTGTAGGTTAGTTTATTATAATGTAGGTTCGCTTCCATCTTAGTCAAAACGATGTGGTTTAACCATTAGCAAAGAAATTAATTATTCTCGTTGATATTTTGATTGAATTTTATAGTTTTTAGCTAAAAAAAATATTTTAAGATGTTTAGGCCTATATATATGTTTGGAAACAATCCTAAAATATACACAATGTTTTGTCTGATTGGTCCGAGGTAATCTTAAAAAATTGTTAAGGGAAATAAGCCAAATATTCTTTGGTGCTTAACTTTCAAATTCATTCATAAAATATAATTTAGAAGACAGGTGTACTTTATCATATTTTGATAGAGCAAAACTTAGACGAATGAAAATATTTTTTTTTGTCCATAGTTAAGTTCTCATAAAAGGTTTAAGAGTTTACTATGAGACATTTATATTGAATTGAAAACTGTTGTAATATTGTAAAACTAAGAGCTTTATAAAGATTTATATTATTGATTTATTTGTATAAAACAACAAATAAGTGTTATACCTTATGTTGACAAATATACATAATACATAGAAGATATGATAAAACAAATAATTATATGTTAAAGGTAAAAAAGAACAAATACAACTTTTGTTTTAAGGTAGATGTATTAGTTATGTTAAAGTTTTATTATTTTGTTAGATTTTTTAGCAAGTTATTTGCATCATAATACATTTATTTTATTTTAAGATTGAAATATATTTACTCATTTGTTTTGGTTTAAGTTAAGGTTACCAAATTTGGTTCCCGTTTTAAAAACATGTATAAGACATTATATATTTTTATTTGTATTTGTTAGTTTTATAAAACAATAAAATAATTTTTCCCACAAAGTTCATACACTTTATAATCACACACCATTCTATTCTTGTGTGAGAATAAAAATTCCAGCAGATATTACGTTCTGTTACAGTTTTAAGTGGGACTTGATTTGAAATTAAAATAAAATAAAAGCACAACAGTAGTTGTGAAAAATTTAGGGGTCAAAATAATTTTCCACAGCAAGGAAAAACATATTTGGTTAAATATACAAGTTAAAGACAGTTATCTTTAACTTTATACAAATAGTCTTTATTCATGCTCATTTTACTTTTTCCTTACCCTGATGTTGATGGTCCAAGCAATTCACTAATGTTGCTATTGTAGGGCTCAATGTCTATAAGCATCGTGTGATATGCAAATGGAAATCACATTCTACATCTCAATTTGTAATTAATTGTGTTGTTGACTTGGTTAGGGTTATGGGGTTATACTTTAGTTTGTATTTTTACCAGTTATTTTCGTGCCATATCACATCACATTATCAACTGATAGATATTAATTTATGTTTATAGTTTGGTAACCAGTAGATTTATTTTTTTAGTCATTGTTATATTTTATTGTATAAAATGTTTTTTTATTCATTTGTTAACTAACCAAAACTAATTTTTATTGTTTTAAAATATCGGAGAAACAAAATTGTAAATAAAGGCTATAGAAAAAAATTGGGTAACATGCCTTATTCAATAAAAATTGATTTTGTTGGAATTTTTGTAACAAATGAAATATATATTTCTCCCTATCAGGTTCATCAATAACCTACATATTATTCAATTAATTTTTTATTTAAATGGCACTGAATCATCAAGTGATTTTGATTCAACTAATTGTAAGGTACACAATCTAGTAAAGCTGGTTTTAACTTTAACTTAATTAATATTTTTAATTTATTTTTTACACACGTTACGCCAATAGTCGTTATTTAAACTTCATTTTCCATGTAGTGGTACCTACAAATGATGATAACAACAAAAATGATGAATAACTAAAATCCATTGTGATTTTTTGTGTCAACTGCATCATCATCCTAGCCATTGATCATGCCTTTTCAAAGTTAAGGTGAACCGACACGGTTTGACACAGTTGATGCTGAAAACCACTATAGATTCTAATGACATAGGCCGTAAAACCCTCTATGAGTAAAAGAGGAAGACCAATATATTGCAGGATTAGAGTGTTGTTTTATTTTATTGTATTTCATGCTATTTGGTTTATTCGTGACTTTAATAGTAATAAGACATTTAAGGTATCTGTATCTAACAAATCCAGGCAGCTCAAACTAGCTCGTAGAAAAAAGAAACGCTGTTTTAGACTCATTAGTCAACAAACAAAATTTCTTTTAATAATTTTGTTCCAAAAAATATAGAAACACGTCAGATTTCTAGTGATAGAATTGCAAAATAAACTTGTGTTTACATAAAAATTTTCATGTGATTTTTAAGGAATTATTTAATAACTCATATGAATTTTGTGAAACTACATGAGGCATCTGACAGGAAGAAAACCTTGGATATGAGATATTGCTATAAGTAACTTAAGGCAAATCACTCTTTATCATATTTCCTATATTTAGGGACTTACTACTTAAAACAAGTAAATGTTGAACAGCGTCTTGTCAAAATCTAGAGTTACATTACATAAACTTAAAGGAATAAGAAGAAATCAAGATGGATTATAGTTAGTTAGTTTCGTTTTAACTATCCTTGTACCGTTTGATTATTAGAATCTGGTTATATTTTAGAAAGTTATTATATATCTATGATTATGTCTTTCTCTTAGTTTAGTTTCAACAAATTAGATTCATCACTTGCTAGGCGATGATTATAAATTTATTTAAACGTTTTAGGCATTTTTGATTTTCTTGCAGCTCACGAAAAAGTTAGTATTTGGTTTGTTGTTATTAAAAGATAGTTTGTTTGATTTATTTGTAGCATTTAATGAAAAATGTTGTGAAGTGCCATAGTTTATACTCAAGATTTTAGTTTTATATATATATTTTTGCATTGTGCATCAATTTAGATTTTTTTGGCTCGAAATGCAACAATTTAAAGAGCTATGTTGTTTTTGCACTATATTTAAAAGTTATATACATGTTTTTGAATAAATAGATCTATTTTCAATCTCCATTTTATTATATTACCTTGAATTTTTAAATGTATAGGCTTAAGTAATATTCTTCCTGTTTCCCAAATCCAAAATGTAATATATGTTTTGTATTTAGTGACATTATTTACACAAAGACAGAAATAAAGAGAATTTTACACTTTATTTTCACCCAAACGTAAATTTTACACTTTGAAAAAAACCATTCTATTGTTTTAGTTAATTTTGATTCATAACAATTTTTTAGGTATGTTTTAAAAATACAATACCTGAAAAATAAGGTGGTTCATTCATTTTTTTGTTACCAGAAGTAGTTTCTTTGACAGGGTAAAACATTTATTATAAAATTTGTAAATATTAATATAAATGTCGATTTAGTCCAGATAACTCTGTGTTCCTGTCTGAATATTTATATTTTGTTTTATTCTCTCAAGTTTAACTCTTTGGTCTAGAAAACGTGTAATACTAAATATTATCCTAAAAATCTTCTGCCACCAATATAAAATGAAATGCTGAATAGTAAAACCTCTAAGCAACATAAAGAGCTATTGAAGGTTTTCATTGCTCACAGTGCTTTTTTTGCAATTGGAAAAGTATAGTTTGTCACTCTAAAAGAGTCTGAAATGAGTGGTTGAATGAAACTTCATTTAAGATAAATCTTTCTTCTTGAAAATTTTGCTTAAAGGTATTATCTTATCATGACTGAAAATAATTTGTGTTGGGGCGAGAACAAGTGTGAAGGCCATCCCACTCTGCTTTTTCCAAAGATACCTGGTTTTTGATAAGCGACTTGTATTTTTACTTCGACAATGATGAGCGTTGTCGCACTGGAAAATGTATGACTACACTACTGCTTAAAATATGATACTTAGGGATAATACTTCTTAAGTATACATTTGGCTATTTTTTATCAAGAATACTAACCCTAAATACTGTATAAGCATGGTATCAGATTCATAGTTCTAGTGAGTCTTCTTCACAGGGAAGAAGTTACTGCTATTGGCAGCTTACTATCACTATGTTAACTGGATAGTTTTTGCCTTATGGTGTCTAAAATAAGAACGCAGAATTTGTTCCAATAATCTGCTTTGCAATGTATATGAAATTATTCCTAATGATAAATACAATAAGTACCCTGGCACAGAATGTAGACTAAGTAACATTTATTGCTTTATTAAATGTATGTTCAAACTATTTATATTTTAAGGAAATTTACAGTTTAGTACGGCTCCTAGTGTAATTAATATTGGCCCATAGAGTACTTGTTTTTTGTGTGGCAAACCCCAAAGATATTGAAGTTATAGACTTTTATTGAATTTGATGAATTGGTATTCAACCATTAATAAACTGCAACATTAGCTTAAAAAACTTGTATACACATAAAACACAATATATGTTTTTTTGTTAATTAAAAAAACCCTTCAATGTAAATGTTTGCCAAAGAGTTTACAAATTGCCCATAAACAAGCAATATAGTGCAATCAATGTACTTTCTATAGGCATGCCATAGGAGATGACTCACTGTGTTAAGAACTTATAAGTTTATTGCTTTTTTAAGCTGTGCAAATTTCGGGACTAAAAAACCCCTATCCTATGGTTTGGACCAGGCTGGCTTGATAGCACACACTAATAGGTGTTTGTCAACTATTTGTTAATTGTACTTTCATATGATATGAAACTGTTTAGGCCTGAATAGTTGTGTCAAATCTTAAATAACTTACAAGACTTTTTTTGTCATCCACTTTTTATGGTGTGTAAAGCTTAGGAAGACAATTGCTTTACTGAAATAAAAATAGATGCATCAAATGAAATGTGAAATTTTAAAACTCTAAAAAGATATGTACATTTAAGAACTTAAATTATTCATTGAAATAATAAAGGTGTAGGAGCTGTACTAGGGAAAAATACACCACAAATCAATGCTGCCTGCAAAAATTGGAAAAAATTATGCAATACAGGGTGTTTCCAAATTGTCTGGACATATTTTGTGGACTTGTTCCTTGGGCTAAGACAAACATAAAATGCCATATAAGTATGGGTCTCAAATGCCTAGATTTCTGTTTGTCAGTCTGTTTGTGATTTTTAAGAATTATTTTATATCTTGACCATTTTTTGAAAAAGAAACTCAAAATTGGTATAAATATGTATTTTAGTAGGTAAAAAGAGCTTACAAAGTTTCGTTACCATACCTCAGGCCGTTTCAATATGGTGGCAATTTAAAATCTAAAATGCCAAATTTCATGAAAACCGTAAATATTAAGGAAATTGTTGTAAGAATCAAAAAGATAGAGAATCTAAATCCAAATCAAATGAGACCTTGTTTGTTAAAATCAGATAACAAACAACCGAGTTATCAGTTTTTTTCTACATTCAGTTACGCAATTATTAATGAATTAATTTAATAGGACTATCATACTGCTCTGTAAAACTACAATAAACAATATGGAAGTCCTCTTAAAATGTGTAACCGAATGTAAAAAGAAAAAAAACTGACAACCGGAATCCGATTTTAACAAACAAGGTCTCATTTGATATGGGTTTAAATTCTCTATCTTTTTGATCTGTAGAACAATTTCCAATATTTACGGTTTTCATGAAATTTGGCATTTTAGATTTTAAATGGCCGCCATATTGAAACGGCTTGAGATATTGGAACAAAACTTTTTAACCTCTTTTTACCTACTAAAATACCGTACATACCTATACAAATTTTGAAGTTTCTATCTTGAAAATGCTCAAAATATAAAATAATTCTTAAAAATCACAAACAGACTGACAAACAGAAATCTAGGCATTTTAGACCCATACTTGGCATTTTATGTTTGTCTTAGCCCAAGGAACAAGTCCACAAAATGTTTAGACAATTTGGCAACACCCTGTATGATAATTGTTTAATAAAAATCACCAATTAGAGTAATTTGTTCCCCTCTATTGGGACTGCCAGTAAATTACTTTTGAAATTATGGACAGTCTTAAACAACTTAACATGATTAAATAACAAAATATGACAGAATAACGTAATTGAATTAGCCACATTGACCTTTCTAAAATGCAGATTGAAAAAAAATTAAACCCTCGGGTTTTCTTATTTTGTTGTATAATCCTGTGTAACCCAAGGGAACACAACAAAGTGTTCACAGTCCAGATGGAAATAGATTCTGTGTGAACGGGAGAGAAGGAGAAAAGGAGAGGAAGATAATGTTTACTGCAACGCTTGGCGCCGCAATATTGTTATAAATATAGCGGTCGGAGAAACATAAAGATCAACATAAATCCAGGATTTGTATAAATAACTAAGTAGACTAATTAGAAGTGGTGAAACGTGGAGAGGTGCGGAAATAACTCGGGTTGTCGTAAAACAAGGAAACTTGGTCCAGGCAGTGGTGGATAAAACTCACTGAACAAACTCGGTTCTTAGTTCAATCCTTGAAGAATTCATATATACAGGGTGTTCAAAAGGGGTAGCAGATTTTTATCCCCCTGGAATTTTACCCCCTGGGCAAACGTGACGCCACAAACCAGGGGGTAAAATTCCGGCCGCGAACTTTTGAGTTTGGATTAAACGCGGAATTAAACATATATTTTCACGGTTGTGAATTTAATCAGAACACATCAAATTATAAAAACCTAGAGTGTACAGCCCGGATTCTTAACCCCGGAATTTTACCCCCGGATTTTTACAAAAGGAATTTTTCCCCCGGATTTTTATTCCCAGATTTTTACCCCCGGAATTTTACCCCCTGGCCAGATATATAAATTAGTGAGAATGATTAATTATCTTCATTCTGTTTTAATTTAATAGGAAACATTTTATTACTAAGTAGCTTATCTTAATTTATTTGTAACATCAACTAATCGAACAGGTTTTTGATTTTAATTTTGAGATTCGAGTATCAGGATTCGATCTTTGAAGCCAACTGTTGATTAATATGACGTATAAACAAACATCAGAATGGCATTTGATTCGAGGATTTCTTTAACGATTTATTATACAACCGTGGTAAAACAATGTTTTTCGTTTGTATTGTAACAATAACAAAATATGCCTTATTGTTTCTTTACGCAGAAATGTTCACCCAATTATCATTTAAATGAGATACTCAGTTTATTTTACATACTTATTAACCAACAGTTGGCCCCAAACGCAAATCCCGAACATCAAAATTAAACAGCGAATTCTGTTTACTTAGTTGAGATTACAGAATAAATAAATAAAGAAAGGCTACTAAATAATGAAATGTTTACAATCAATTAAAAACAGAAATAAGAAAATCAATCATTCAATTTCTAAAATCGGCCAGTGGGTAAAATTCCGGCGGGTAAAAATCCGGGGGTAAAAATCCGGGGGTAAAAATCCGGCCCTTACATCTTCAGTTGTCTAAACGCTAGTCATATGGACAGGGGGTAAAATTCCGGGTTTTATCCCTAATCTAATTAATCACGCTCTGGCTATTTTCATTAGACTTCCAAATCCGCGGGGGTAAAATTCCGGCCGCGAACAAACTTTTGGCCACTCAGGTTGCTACGTCATAGTGACGTCAGCTTTGCCCAGGGGGTAAAATTCCAGGGGGATAAAATTCCGGCGACCCGTTCAAAAAAGGTGGGGACATTATTTACGTAGTAATTCCTTTTGTCAAAATAAGCAAAAAAGTTGTATAACCATATTTTCCTATCTCGGTCCATTTAGCGGCTGTCTGTCTGTCTGTCTGTATGTGTTTTTACAAATAGAATCATAACTCCTTAACGGTTTGAGCTACAGTGTCAAAATTCTGCAAAATTGTTAATCCTATTAGTTGCTATCTTTGTGTGTTGTATGAATAAAGGTTCTTAAACCGTTTAAGAATGGCGGCTATTTTAAACTTTTGATGCCAAAGTTCACGAAAGCCGTGAATTTAAGAAGCAAATTGCAATATAAGCCATGGCTCGGTATAGTTTATTTCTATTGTAAAAAAAGCAATATAAAGGAACTCACATTGTTTACAAGTAATTTTGGGTTTTATTATTTTGTTCCAGTGAA